AATACCCACATGCAACTGTGATGAAGCCAAGTGTCAAAACCCAGGAGAGGAAATGTCATATCAATCCCAGGCTCATGGTCCCTGAAATCTGCCACCTGAGTCTCATTCTTTTGATTTAAATCCCTTTCATTCTGTAAACATTTACTGAGGCTTTTAGGAGCCAGGCATTGAGGACCTGAGTCCAAGAGGAGAGACAAACCCAAGTCAGTGATACTTCCATAGAGGTATGACTGAGAAGAGTTCAGTGCTCTGGGACTGCAGATAAAGGAGCAATTAGGTGTGCCTAGGGGATAGAAGAGTTGGGCATTAAAGGATGCTTAGGAGTTTGCCGGGCAAAAGAAACTAAGTTTGGGGATGGACACTCCAGGTGGAAAAACAGCATGAACACAGGTGGGAGGCATGAAACGCTCATGCTCAGGTGGAGAATAGTTAGGGCAAGGCTAAAGCGGGCGGAGAGAGCATCTGTAGGTGTCGCCATGGCAGCTCCAGTTGTCTGCAGCCAGCATCTGTCCTGATTGGTCAGTGCCTGTGCTTGTGCCAGTTGTTGAATAATTTGACTATCACACCTATTTGGACAAGGGCCGGAGCAGCAAACTGTCAGAGAATTGGTAGGATCAGGTTGGTTTTTACAGAAACATCCCGCTTTGAGCATAGGCAAGACAGGCCTGAGGCCACGGAGAGATGCGGGCAAGAGCCAGTCCTCAGCTCATAAGGCCTATCCGCTTTACCTCTACCTGCTGGGATGTCTGGAGATTCCACACACAGCTATCATAAAAACCCAAGTCCCACACTGCTCAGTGAATTAGAATCTCAGAACTTGAACTCTGGAAGGTCCCTCAGAGATCACCCAGTTCACATCCCTTGTTTCACAGATGAGTTACCAGAGATAAAATTAAAACTAGTAACCCATTCAATCATTCGGCCAACACTGGGGTGCCCCTCTGTGCCAGGCCCTGCACTAGGCTTTAAGGACAGAACAGAGAATAAAGCAGCCACGGCCGTGGCCCCTGTGGCATTCACATACCAGTAGAGAAAACAAAATAATTCAGATCGTGGGAGGTTTTTACGAGGGAAATAAACACAGCCGTGTGATGCAGGGGTTGGCAATCTATGGCCTGCGGGCCAAATCCCGCCCTTAGACTCTTTCTGGATACCAGCAAGCTAAGAACCATTTTACGTTTGCAAAGGGTTGTAAAAAAAAAAAAACAAAAAGCAAAAGAATACACAGCAGAGACCCGACAGCCCCCATAGCCCAAGACGTTTGCTATCTGGCCCTGTATAGACAAAGTTTGCCAATGCCCACAGTGTTAGTGGGAGGGGGCTCTCTACACCGGCAAGGTCTGCCTTCCTGCCTTGTAATACGGCCTCTTTCTGATCCCCAGAAGTTCTGACTGAAATGGTTCGTCAAAAGTTCACCAGAGTTGGCAACCTGCCTGTAGCCAAGAGTCCGGATTTCCGGACACCTCCTTCCCCACCTGCCGTCTGGGGTCTTACTCCCCCTCCCCAGAGATCAGACAGGAGCCACTCAGACAGCAGATTCTCCCATGGACCCTTGACCCCTTTGCTCACCTCCAACTGCTGCCTGAACTGTCTAGTCAAAAATAGAAGCACATGATGTCAACCGTCATTGAAAACTTTAAAAAAAAAAAAAATTTTTTTTAAATAGAACCACATGAATCCCTATTTCAAGACATCTCCGTGGAGATCCAATACCCAGAAGCTTTGACTTCTTTTATTTCAGTCAAATGCATTTCTCAGCGAATGGCTCGGGGTTCAACTTTACAGATCTTGGCATTTATGTCCAAAATAAAATTAAATGTATAACTCTAGCCTTCAGGGAAAGGAAGTCCCAGGACATATTCCGGAAGCAACTGTGAATGGAAACCCACACGAAGAAGGATGGCATAAATCCCTGAGCTCGTCACTCTGCAGCACCAGCGGTACATTCCACCGCATTTCTGTGCAGAATGGGAACCAATTTGTCAATGAAAAAACATCTGTCCCATCAGTGCTCAACACAGAGCCCTTCCTCTCACACAGCCCGTCACCCTGCTGGTTTCCAAAAGATCATTTTGTTCACAGTAAAGTCTGTGCCTCGTGGAAAATATATTACACCTGAACAGTTAACTTTGCAATTGTCAACGAGCCACTTACTAAAGTTGAAGTAACTCTCATGTCCATACAAAGTGATACCATAGATGCTTACTATGTGATAGGGAAGACATCGATGAAAGACAATGGACTGAACACAGCCACCTGTGATCCCTCGTTGAATCCCATTAAAAAGCATAGTAAAGGAATATTTTAAAGGAATAAATTCATAAGAACAAAACGAATGAAAAACAGCAAGAACAAAATTTCAGAAGCTGGAAAGTTGTAATGGATAAGTTGTAACTGATGGAGTAGAACCCAGAAAGCTGAGTGGAGAAAGCTGAGACTCAACCTGATTACACTAAGGGACCTGCCACCAGGGACCAGTAGCACCAGTGCCCTGGCAGTCGGACCAAAGTGGGTTTGCAACATGATGATTCTCTGAAGGTCTACCTAAGTTGTATTTAGACCCTGCTTACCTCCCACGCCCCACAGATGGCCGGATGCCCCTTCTGCCCCAGCAAAGACTGGAAGCTGAGTCTCTGGATCTCTGCACCTGGGGACACCAAGGAACTATGAGGAGGGAGGACTGAAAACAGGAAATTAAATCAAAGCTTACGTATTAGACATGGAGACCCATAGTCCTCTTCCCCCACTCAGATCTCAGAATGCTGGCAAAGAAGCAGGAGATTGGAAAATTCTTCACGGGGGCGTTTGACCAAGTCAAAAGAGCTCCGGGTGCCAACATATTTGTTTTGTCCTCTAATGACAAATGATAGACAAGTAAAAGTGGTTTCTCGGCTTTTCTTTCAGGAATACTTGATCTAGAATTGACTTCTGTCAGAGGAAACACACTCTCCTGCTTTATTTCCCACCATTTCTATTTTAGACGGGGGAAACAGTATGCTACGTTTCACATGCATGACTACAAGTTCACAGATTCTACTCTGTTGCTGTTGTTTCTCTGGACAGCTGAACTAGATTGCCCTACAGCAGGGCTCTGAACTTTACCTGCAGTTAGAAACACTTGGAAAGCTTAGAAAACATACCAACCCCAGAGCCCCACCCCCCAGAGCTCCTGATGTAATTAATCAGGAAGGGGTCAGGCATGCTAGTTGTAAGAGCTCCCCGGGTGATTCTAATATGCAGCAAGAGCTGAAAAATCACTGAAATGAAAAACACTGAAAACGTGAAGCCTGCAGTTGACAAGCCCATTCATTCAATCAGAGCAGCCAATTTAGTATCTATTTTTAAATATGACTACACAGGCCAGAGTCACCAGATATCTGAGGAAAACTTCTAACAGGAAAGATAGACCAAAATAATCAAGTATATAAAGGAAGTGGGAGGAAACAGACTCTGCAGGAAGAGAAAATCTTTGGGAGAAGGGGAGAATCATTAATTTCTCAGATCTTAGATTATCAAAGAAATTAGCCAGAATAGTAAATCCATGAAATTAGAACAAAATTGTATTTAAAAAAAGAAACGCCCAGAACCAATTATAATTTTATGATAGCAGAAACAAAAACCTCAGTAAAGGTTTGGAAGTTAAAGACGAGGGCATCTCCCAACAGTAGAGCAAATGCAGAGAAAGAAAAATCGAAAGTTAGGGATGGCTTCAAGGGTCCAACATCAAAATAATAGGCATCCCAGAAAGAGAGCAGAGAAAACAGAGGAGAGAAAAACATCGAAGAAATAATTCAAGACGAAGGCCCTGAATTTCCCAATCGAAAGGCTTTCCAGGTAACAAAAAGTAGATGAAAACAAACCTACATGAAAGCATGTGACGATTAAATTTCAGAGAGAAGATTCTACAAGCTTCGATAGAGGAGAGGAAAAAATGTCTACGTACAAAGGATCAAAAATTATGATGGTATTGAGTTTCTCTCTATTAGATGCTAGAAGACAGTGAACAACTCAAAATTCTGAAGGAATAGTATTTTCAACCTAGAACCCTATTACCTCGCTAAACTGTCAATTAACTGTAAGAATAGAATTGACATTTTCAGACTTCAAAGAATCAAAAATTTTCCCTCACGTACCCTTTTTCGGAACGTTACTGGAGGAGATATACCACCCAAATGAGAAAGAGGAAGACATGGGATCCAGGAAGCAAAGGGTCAGCCCATCACGGGAGAGGGACAAAGAAAAATCTAGAAAGATGTTGAAGGGAGATCCGAGGACCACCATTGTGCAGCAGGTCTAGAGAGCAACTAGGCTGTGACTAAATATCTTAAGGCTGCAAAGTATACAGAAAGATGAACTTAGATCTTTCCCAGTCTCCCCTGCAGCTAGGGGGTGAACATGTGCCCTCAGCCCCAGGTGTCAATGAAAAACACCTGCTTTTCAGGGGAATGTACAAGGGACAGCAGCAGTGGAAGATTGACATCCCTGCCATCCAGCCCTATGGCCTAAGCACTGCCCCTGGCTGTGATGTCTCCAAGCCTGACCCTCCTTCCGCCTGGAGATACTGGAGCTAGGCAACATCCTGTAATGAATTCCTCTTCTAGCTAGAGTATGTTCTGGTTTTTTTTTTTTTGGTTTTTTTTTTTTTTTTTTTGGTAACTAAGCACGTGATAGACTGTGACCAAATTTCTAGAGCTGAATTCATAAGTATACGGAAAATTAAGCAAACAAAAGAGGCCATTATTAATTCTAAGGAAAACAACACACAAAAAATGTGGAAGAACAGAATGTAATGATGGTACGCGACATGAATTAGCTGAGAACAATATTTGTTTGACCTTAATGTAAACATTGAAACCTCACATAAAGCTATAAATACATCAAGAGAAGAGACAGGACACATGTGTGTGTCAGGGTGGGAGGTGTAATTAGTTTTCTATTGCTGTTGTAACAAATTACCACCAACACAGTAGCTTAAAACAATACAAACTTATTTTTCTTACCATTCTGAAGGTCGGAAATGGGTCTCACAGGGCTAAAGTCGAGGTGTACACAGGGCTGCATTCCTTGTGGATGCTCTAGGAGAGAATCCATTGCCTCGCTCATTCCAGATGTTGGCAGAAGGGTAAGGACAAAGTCCCATTCCCTCGCTGGCTGTCAGCAGAAGGCTGTTCCTGCTCCTGGAGGCTGCATATTCCTTGACTCAGTCCCCTTCCTCCATCCACAAAGCCAGCAACAGAGGCCTCTTCTTTGTCACGTCTCTTACCCACTCAGCTGTTGAGACGAGCCCACCCAAATATTCCAGAATAATCTCCCCGTTTTAAGGTTCTTAATTCGAATCACATCTGCAAAGTCTATTTTTCCACATAAGGTAACATATTCACAGGTTAGGAGAATTAGGGCATGGACATCTGGGGAGGGGTGGAGGATATTATTTTGCAGACCAGGGCAGGGGAGAAATTCCCAGCTTCCAGAGCAGGAAGTCATCAGTGTCTGAAATGGAAAAATAAAGAAAGAGCAGCATAAACATTGGAATATGGAAAGAGAAACCAGAAGACAGTTCTAGAAAAGCAGAAAAATCGTTGCCACAGAGCAGCCGGGTGGGGGTGGGGATAGGGTTTTGTAGTTTTTACATTATAAGCCTCAGAGCACTGCTTCAACTTTTAAAACTATTTACCTTTTCAAACCACAGTCATACGCCACATAACGATGTGGCGTCGATGACAGACCACCGTACGTGGGGTGGTCCCATAAGATTATAATGGAGCTGAAAAATTCCTATCGCCCAGTGACGGCGTCGCCGACGTCACACGCTGCCAACGTCACGCACAGCCGACGTCACACGCAGCCGACAGCCTGGAGCGGTGGAGCACGATGCATTCGTTACTCACGTGTTTGTGTTGCTGCAGTTGTATAAAGTATAGCACGTACAATTATGTAAAGTACATAATACCCGAGCATGGTAAAAGTGACTGTTACTGGTTTATGCATGTACGATACCATGCTCTTTCGACCTACAAAGCTTTGCTGTAAAACAGGACACCGTGTCACTGGCAGCAGCCTCACACATCAGTTTCCCACGTCTCCTGATTACATCATTTTCTCTTTGCTTGCTTTACTCTCAAAAACGAGCTTGGCAAATTCAATCGTCTTATAACTTGTTTTATAAATTGAGTGTCGCCTAAATGTACAGAGTTTATAAAGTCTACAGTAGTCTACAGTCATGTCCTAGGCCTTCACATTCACTCACCCTCAGTCACTCACTCACCCAGAGCGACTTCTAGTCGTGCAAGCTCCATTCATGGTAAGTGCCCTATACAGGTGTGCCATTTTTAAATCTTTTATGCCATATTTATTGTACCTTTTCTATGTTTAGATGTGTTTAAATACACAAATACCACTGTGTTATAGTTGCCTACGGTATGCAGTACAGTAACATGCCGTATAGGTTTGTACCTAGGAACACGAGGCTACACCACACAGCCTAGGTGTGTGGTGGGCTATACCACTTTGTGTAAGTGCACTCTATACTATTTGCACAAGGAAATTGCTTAACGAGGCACTTCTCGGAACGTATCCCCGAGCAGCATGTGACTGTATGTGTATGTACTACCTCCTGCACAGGAAACACTCCTGTGTTCTGTCTACTCTCAAGACTCTACTCAGGCACTTCTGACCACCATGCATGGGGTGTTTCACCACACCACCAAGCAATGCTCCAACACCAGCTGGGTGTCCTACAGTTTAATTCAAGTCTGACACTATCGACCTGGAGTTAGCGACAGATCCCACAGGTTAAGGGCTACATACCATGGATTGCTCCCCACACTTCAGATGCCAGTTGCAAGCCAGTTGCTTCTGACCGAACAGCCAAAAATTGGAGATTCCCATAGAGCAGCTCAAAACTCAACAAAAGTTTACTTCCAAGATTACAGTTTATTACGAAAGATACTCAAGGATATGAATGAACAGCCAGATAAATGACACAGGGCAAGGTCCAGAAGGTTCCCCAGTACAGGAACTTCTGTCTCCGTGGAATTTGGGGTGTGCCACAGATGTCTTCTCAATCACTAGCCCGACGCTCTGAGAATCCCCTCCTTTTGGGGTTTTACGGTGGCTTCATTACATAAGCATGATTGATTATATCATTGGCCACTGAAGATCAATTCAACCTCCAGCCCCTCTTCCCTCTCCCAAATTGGGGGTGGAACTGAAAGTTCCAACCCTCTCATCACTTGGTTGGTTCCCATGGCAACCAGCCCCAGCGTTAGGGGCTTTCCAAAAAGCAGCCATCCACATAAACTCAGGTGCGGTTGAAAGGGGCTTGTTATAAATAATAAAAGACACCTTTACCCTCTTACTCCTTAGGGAAATTCCAAGGGTTGAAGGAGGTGCGAGGAACAGGAGGAAGCCCAGATATGTATTTCTCATCATCAATCACAGTTCACACCTCCCCAGCCCCACCTGATGGCCACAGGATCTTGGTGGCTCCTGAATTCTCCCCATTTCGCCCTAGCCTTCTTCTGCTGGCCTTTTCTCTCGGGTTCTCCTTAGCTATCCCTGACCCCTCTCCCAGCCAGTGACCCCACTCTGTGCTCCCATAGCACCTCATACGTCCCCTATTACAACCGTCTGCCACGACCCCAAATTGAAATTGCACCAGTCCAACTGCTGGCAAAAGCTTATAGGTAGAATGAAAACAAGTAGAAAGGAGCCAGCCAGAGGTAGAGAGGGCAAGCACCAATGACACAGTGAGTCACCAGCTGGACACTGTCACCTAAGAAATGTCCAAACCTGTAGAGGATCTTATAAGAGTTTATTTGAGCCAAACTGACAATAGTTGCCAAGGAGCAAGATCTAAAATGCTCTGGAGAATGACCGTCTGCAGCTTCTTTTATGCATGTGGAATTAAGGGCGGAATATATAAGAGTCCATGAAGGCGGGAGAAAGCAAGGTGGGGACTCAATTACAGGATCCTTGACCAGGTCGTGTGCTCCCTCGAGGGTGGTTATACCTTCCAGGGGTCTGGAAAAAGAGGATTACTTCTGGCATTTTAAAGGTGTGTTAACTTAGCCGCACAAGAACAATGGGCAGGGCTGAGCTTAAAAACCTTTTCCTAAGGAAGTTATAGGCCTGGGGCGCGACTACCTTCCGTGACCTGCCCAGGTAGGGATTTATGTCCAGGTCACCCTGTGAGGTTACTTTCAGTTAGATTTATTACAGCCCCCCTTTTATGTCCACAGTGTTCTTTCCAGAGGACTTGAAGCTGAGGGGATGTGAATCCTGGAGCTGCTGCAGCCATCTTGTGACTCTGAGGTGAGGGCTTAAAATCGGAGCCAGGATAAAGGACAATAGGAAAAAGGAGAGGCACGCCATGTCCCGGTGATATCACTAGCTCCCGCTGTTCCCCCACAGCGGCTATGGCCTCTGGGATTTCTGGTCCTAATAACAACTATTACCCTGAGGCAGTGGCTCTCAGCCCTGGCTGCCCATTAGAATCACCTGGGACACCTGGAAAAAACAACACAACACAACACCCAGGCCTGGCACCCCCCCAGAGATTCTGAGTCACTTGGACGGGGTGGATCAGCCCTCCTGGAAGGATGGGGAGGAGAGGAGGAAAAGGACAGAAAGAGAAAAATAGCATTTTGGCCAGATCTTCTCATTTTGATAAGGATGATCTGATAAAGCTCGCCCCCATGCTGGTCATGCAAAACAAACGCCAGATGAATTTCCTTTCCCCTCTCTTCCCCATTCTCCTGAGAAAATAGGAACTCCTTGACATTTTGGTGGAAGGCAGTCGCAGAGACTGTAACAAGAAAGACAATTCTAGAAAGCAAACATAGGGCACCTTTGGCTTTGGGGAGGAGGAGGAGCATGCGTCCATTCACGGAGTCGGCGGAGAGCCTGGAAAGGAGAGACGCTGAACCAGCAAGGAGCCCACAGCCTCAAGAAGGAGGTCAGTGAGTGGATGGAAAGCGCCCGCCCGCAAGGCAGGAAGACGCACCTGAGACCCGTGGGCCCCACGGCGGACTGGCAGGAGGAATCAGCCAGGAGGAAAGGGAGTGGAAATGGCTTGCTGGGTGGGAAGACCAGCTCACCCGAACATCTGGAGAAGAGCATGGCACTGCTGCGGTGAGCTGGGAGAGGCCAGGATGCCAGGACAAGGAGGCCTGAGTGCCAGGCCCTGGAAGGACGCAGGCACTGCTCAGCGGAGTCTGGACTTGGCCCGCACCGGCTGGGCTAGGGGGGTCTGAGAAACCCCCGACAGGTGGCAGACAGAGACTGTGCCATCCGCAAGTCCCAGCTGACATCTTGAATGCATTTAAAACTCTTTTGGATCAAGCCCCTGGGCAGCCTCACTGCCCATCACCTGCACACACTGACCAGCCGGAGACTGGAAGGTGTGAAGAAACTAAAGATTTCCTTCGGGCTTGACAAAGGGCTTCTTAAAACACCCCTGACGCTTGCCATCAGTTTCCAAATACCCCCGGGGGCAAAAGGAAAGAAGCACCCCATGTCTGGCCAGGCAGGTGCCTGGGAGGTTTGTAACTCACAGAGGAGCCCTCCGACCTCCCCCTGGCTCCGAAGGCGGCTGCAAACCCCTCAAACGGGGAAGGAGGGGCAGGTGGGGGTGCAGTACATGAAGGTCTCATTTCCAGCTGTTTGGAGGAACCCCGTTCACCGCCTAAGGGGAAGCCTGAGGGGCAGCCCTTGCCCAGGCTCGCCCTGGCTTGGGGGCGACCCTTCCTGGGTCCTCTCTCGCAGGTTCTTTTCAAGCACCTGACTCCTCTGTGCAGGCAGGAAACGCTCCCCGAACTGAATCACTGAGCCAATGAGGGAGGAAGTCACAGAGGAATAAGAGCGAGTGATACAAACAAAAGGCATTACTATTATTTTTATTATTGAGAACTGATAACATTTCTGCTCTAAACCACCCTACAGGTAGATAATATTCTCATGAACTTCATCTTACAGTTAAGGAAACTAAGGCCCAAAGAGGTAAACCCACTTGCCCAGGGTCACACAGCTCATCGGTGGCATTGGTTAGAATGAGACTCCTGGTCCCCTGATCCTGAGTCCACAGCTATGGCTGCTTTTGCTCTTATTCGGCTACCCCTGTGGCCCAGAGTCACAAATCCCCAGCTCTCTGGGCTCCAACAGGCCAGCATCTTTGCATGGTTTAGATTCTGGTGGTAAGATGGGGAGTCAGCACATGTCGCCCCATCCTAACCCACCTCCAAGGGACCTAAAGCAGGTCACCCTCCTGGCCACAAACCAACTGCATTTTTAGCCACCATCTTACGTGAAGTGTAAGGGTCTCTGGCCTTGCAAAGAAAACCAGACTTTCCAGGACTGGGCGTCAGGCAGATGCAGTGATGACACGGGTGATGGCTGAGAAGTTTCAGAGGGGACAACCACGAAGGCTCAGAGGTGGTTCTTTCCATCTGCACCAGTGACTCGAGGCTTTGCAGGGAGGATAATGAGGCTGAAACTGCTCAGTTCCCTCCTGGCTTTGAATTATGGGGCTGGGGTCAAAAACACAAGGGAGTAGGAGGTATGACCCTCCCCTCAGGGGGCGCGAGTACTAAGTGAACTAATACAGTGGAGAACTCGGGACAGAAGCCACCCTGTAAGTGCCACATAGGCCACTTCTGACACCTGCAGGCTGGCTCCCTCACCTCCTCTAAGTCTTTCTACAAATGTCACCTTAATGACACCTCTGACCATCTGCTCCAAACTCGCCCCTCCCTGACACTCTCCAATCCCCTCTTCTGCTTTATTTCTCTCCTGAGCACTTTTCTCCATCTAAATACTATCAGATTATCTTGTCAGCAAGATCACACCCAGCTCGCCTCCCTAATAGTCCTCATGGCTCTGACAAGGCCACTCCAAGCTCCAGACCCTTTAGGCCACTTTGCATCCCTTACCTGATGAGCTCCAAATCAGGGCTTCTCACACTTGAACATGCAGAGTGATCACCGGGGGAGCTTGTTAAATGCAGAGATGAAAAGAGCTGGGCTGGCTGGGCCGGAAAACCAGCATCTGGAATGAGGTCCCAGGTGATGCTGATGATTCCAGCCCAGACCAGAATTCACGCTCTAGAATGTAGCTTAAAGTTAATGTTCTCTCTCTTTCTCCCTCTCCCTGCTCCTTTTCTCTCTAGCTCTCCCTCTCGCTTTCTTCTCTCCCCCTTTCTTCTCTCCCCCTACCACCGCCTTCCCTGTCCCCCTCCCTCCCTGCTCACTCTCTCTCCATTCCCGTCTCTCTCCCTCTTTCTCTTCCTTACCCTCTCTCTTGCCATCTCTCTCCTTCATCCCATCTTTCTTGATGTCCAGACCTAACTCTCTTCTTACGCTGCCTTTCCTTTTCTTCCCTGCCTTCCCATTTGCTACCCCAGAAATTCATAAGCACCTTCAAGCTGGCCTTAAAACTCCTAATTCGGGGGAGGGGGGGCGGGGTCCAGAGAAAGTGCCTGGCTCCCTATTTGCAGAGGAAAAAACAACATTAAATCAGGAGACCCCTGAACTTAGCTCTTCAGAGCTGGGCTCATCGCATTCCCTTCTTAATAACCACATAATGACTCCTATTAACAGCCCATCCAAGGCAATTAGTCCTGAAGGAACAAAGGCTCCTACAAGCTATTTTTCTCACCCTCTGTAGCAAACCCTCTCCTTCCGCACCTGCATCCTGATTACTCCCCAGTTCTGAAGGCAAAACTGAGAAATTTGTCTTCCTCCTCCTGGCCTTCCTCCAGCTTCTCAGCTGACAGCTCTTCCCCAATCTAGTCCCACGAGAAGGGCGAGGAACCTGGGGAAACATCACAGTCCTCTCTTCCATTTCACTTAGTGGGGGCATTTGATGGGGGCACAGGAATCACTAAGAATAGATACACTCTGTCCTGCGAAATACTTCTAAGTGCCTGCATTTATGAGCATATTTATGCTGTGTGGGTTGTAAGGGAGGAAAATGGAAATTACCTCCTTGACCATCACTGTCAAACAGAACCCAGATGGCCATAAAAACAATTAGGTGGGTCCGGATCAATAACGAGAGCCTATATCGAGTTTTACGCAGTGCGCGCCCGCCCCTACTCTGAGCACTTTACTTGTATTATCTCTTTAATGTCGTGACAAAACCTATGACAATTATCCCCATTTCCCAGCTAAGGAAACTAAATCTTAGGTGTTTTTACCTATTTTTGCCCCAAACTGGATTTCATTCCCCAGCAACCAATCTTTAAGCAAAATTTAGGGTTTTGTTTTTTGTTTTTGTTTTTGTTTTTTAAGTATAGACCATGAAAAGTAAAACAAAAGCCTCTAGAAAGGAGTTAGGAAACTATTCATGATCTCCGGGTAGGCAAAGAGTTCGCAAACAGGACATAGAAAGTGTAAGCTCCCCCGGGGTTGAGAACAAGCAATGGGTGGTATTTACCATTCGCTCCTGTGCCGACCGCATCTTGGTGCATAAGTAGGAGGGCGGCACACCAGACCTGGCTCCGCATATAATGTCCTGCTTCACGTTGCGCTGTGGAGAAGAGGTTACGAACTCAGGAAAGGGGGAACACATCCGCGTGTCGTTCATTCCCAAACAAGGCCGGACGATCTGCGGTGATGGACAGCAGGGGGCGCTCTGCAGACAGCGCGTCCAGGCCCTGGGGCAGCAGCTCTGGCTGGGAGTAAACCAGGCCGTTTGTTTCCACGGCTGCCCCTTCCCGGCTTGTCTCTGGCAGCGGGGTGACAAAGGATCAGAACTCCCGGGAGAGGTCAGTACTAGGGGAAAAGGCTGAGGGGCTGCTGCGCCCCCTACAACACTCCATGGTTCTCAGGATGCCTTCATCTACCGGCTCACTTTATCCTCACACTGGCCTGCTGGGGAGCCCTACCCCCGCCCCATTATTGATAACGCGACTGAGATTTGGCAAAAGTAAAACCACGTGCCTGAGGCCTCTCCGCAAGTGAACAGCAAAGCCCAGCTCCCAAGCCTGGTACCAGGAGGCCCCTCTTGGCCCCTCCTGCCCCGTCACTGCATTGTCACCTTCTCCAAGGCAATTCGTTTGATCCCAGCTGCCAAGACACTCTTTGAGAGCATTATTACATTGTTTATAGAAGCGGGGGCAAATATATGGACCTAGGTGCAGCCCAGTGGACGGGAATATGCCGCCCCAAAATATGCCACTTTGGCACCTCTTGGCATAAAACTTTGAGCTGAAGGCAGTTGAGCAGCAAACACAGAGCTGTCCCCCATCTGCCTAAAAGCAGGACATAAACTTCCCTTTGTAAAAGTGTCCCCTTTCTACACGCCCATACCAGGATAATGACCCTTATCACAGGTAACAGAGAGTCAACAGTGAGGTGGTTCTGCACACACCAACCTTCCTAAAATAACCCTCATCTTCTATCAGCTTCCCCCATATATTGGGCTCCCACCATCCGTCCCCCCTAGAAGCCCAAATGGTTCTAAATGGACTTAGATGATATACAAGTCTCCAGGTCTGTTTCTTTGGGTCTTCACTTTTCTGTGAAGGCCTCCATGCACAGAAAAAAAAAAAAAAATTTAAAATATTAGTATCAAATAACATTTGTATGCCTTTTCTCCTGTTATTTTTCAGTTTAATCTGTCGTTAGTTAATTTTGGGCCTCTGATGCAGAACCTAAGAGTAAACTTTTTTCCCTCCCCTACAGCAGTGATGTATTCCAGAAAAGACATCAACAGGGCATATAGTTGATGTCTGAAGAGGAGACGTCTAGCTGGCCAGAGTGAGGGAGGACAGAGGCTCAGCCAACATCACTGTGTAACTTTGGGGACATGTGGCCAAGAAGGCCTCCTCAGACACTTTAGGAGCCTCTAATCTCCCCTGCAGCTGAAGCTCCTGCCTCTTTGCAGTACCATACCAAGGTCCCCAATGAGTTCCTGGGTAGGGCAAGGGGAAGCCCAGGCCAGAGTGTGGATCTGGAGCTGCTACCGCCCCCCCTCCCCGCCTGCCCCCCCCCCCGCCAATATATAGCCCCACCCTCTGGAGATGTCCCGTGTAGCACAAGGGAGGTCACAGACTCCTGACGATACCGCAGCAGTCTGTCTCTGTGGAGGAGATAAGGGCCAGGCTCAGACACAAGGCCTCGGCAAAGGGTGAGCCCAGGAAACAGCAGTGATTCTGGCGTTCCCACCCCAGGGGGTTTTCAGACTAAGGTCAGTGAGGCACCGCTGTAGGCTGGGCCACCTGGCCCCAAGGTTTGTCCTGGAAGAACTCAGGCTCAGAGTTTGGGACCCCTCACAAATCTATCCACGAACAGAAACACCCGCAGGGCGTACTGTCCCGCACTCAGGCCCACCTGGGTTCAAATCCCAACAACGATGACCAGCTGAGACCTCGGGTGTGTCGCTTCCCTACTCTGAGCCTCCTAAAATCCCCTAAAATTAGAGGGTAATAATCCAACTATCGATGAGACTAAATGGGATGATGCACGCAGTGTTCAGCCAGGGCTCACTGCAACAACAGGTCTGCTTCTCAGACCCACAATTGAACTTTTTTGTCAAACTTAATTCCTATTGCAAGCCCCTTTTTTACCTGATGGTAGAAAAACTTAATCGATTGAGGGGTCCCCATCCCCTCATTTCTCCTTGTTGGCTTCTAAATTCTACATGGTGCTAAGGCCTGGTAGGGAGTGGGCAGAGGTGGGCCCCCAGCTGCTCTCTGTCCAGCCAACAGCTCCTGAGAGGTCCTCATTCTGCCTGGTCACTGAGTCACACAGGTCTCTGCTACATCCTCTAAGGTCCCCTCACACTGAGGCTCTTCACTTCAGTGCTCACTTTGCACCTAGGTCTCACCTTGTCACTAATAGTGACTTTTGGGGCCAGAACAACAAAGAATGACGTGGGGAGCAGCTCTATTCATGGAGGGATGTTTAGCAGCATTCCTGGTCCCTACCCACAAGATGCAAGGAGCATCTCCAACAGTCATGACCATTAAAAACGTCCCCCAACGTAGCCAAATGTCCCGTGTGGGGTAATATTTCCCCCAACTGAGAATTACAGTATTGGACCCCTTGGGACTTCCTGCCCCTTGTCACCTGGGAGCAGAGGTCCTGATGGGGGTCTCTCAGCATGTGGGCCCTGACCCCACCCACCAGCTCTTCTGCTCAGACCAGCCCTAGGCCTCACCCTGCTCCGTGAGCAGCCCCGAGACTCCGGGGCTCTGTGAGGACCTGGACAGCAGGTGCAGGATGAAGGTGGCTGACAAATGAGAGCTGGCATCCCCAAAATGGACATCTAAATAATGCGGCCACACGCACTCAGGAGAAACAGGTGGTGAAGGTGGTGGAGGTGGAGAAGGGGCCCCACCGATGGGAGACGGGCTCCCCCATCTGCCTCCCAAGACAGATTTGCAGCCCAGCAGCCCCAGCGGAACTGCCCCGCCCTGCAGACCCCACGGGGTGACTTCAGGTGCCCGCAGCCTATCCCTGTGGGGCACGCATGCTGCCCGTTCCCATGGTTCAGGCTGGCCCCCCTCCACTGCCCGTTTCCATGGTAGGTGGTCACCAACAACATCACTGACGTTCCTTCAAGTCCTTTCCTCACTGTGTCCTGGAGAGGACATGCTCACTTGAAGCAGACCCACCGTGTAAGGGCTCAGCCATCATTCGTGGTTGTCGACAAGGACACCAGCTACGATGGAGTGCCTGCGGGATCATACTCATGATCCCATGGTGGTGGGGGTTACCTGGCCCCCCTCAAAGATCTCTACAGAGGTTATTCTCTATAGACCAAGAATGGTGGTGGCAGCACACTGAATTCCCTGAATTCAATAGGGAAGAGGAAATCCTAGGAAGCAGAGGCCAAGTGATGGTAGTCGATCACCAGAGACGCGTTTGGCATGGTGTCTGCGACGAGCGACAGAACCAGTGTTCCTGGTCTGACAAGCAGATACCTTCGGTATTGGCTAAAGATCACAGTGTCCCTACAACTGAAAGAGATGGGCAACCGACTTGACTTGAACAGGAAAACACTAGGTCAGGTGAGCAGATGTTGACTTGTATGAGGGCAGCAGAGTCATAGGCCCTCGACCCTTCCCGGACAAGCCAGTCCAGAGGCCCAAAGCCCATACGCGGTGCTGTCTACCAAACCCAGAACTTAGTGCTCAAAACATCATTCGTTCTGCTCATAAAGCTGCATTTGGGGCAGAGCTCAAGGGGAACAGCTCATGTCTATTCCACTTGGCATCAGTTCGGCAACTCAAAAGCTGGTGCCTGGAACCATCCGAAGGCTCATCCAGATGTCTGTGGTTAAGGGACTCAAACAGCCGGTGCTGGAGCAGCTGGGGCCCCTCGATCGCCTCTCTCCATCTCTACATGGCCTCTATCCAGGGTAACCAGACTTATTACATGTTGGCTCAGAATTCCCAAGGCACATGTTGGAGGGAGAGAGAGAGAGAGAGGGAGGGAGAGAGAGAGGGAGGGAGAGAGAGAGGGAGGGAGGGAGAGAGAGAGAGAGAGGGAGGGAGGGAGGGAGGGAGGGAGGGAGAGCTTGTGCTCCAGATGGAAACTAGATCGTTTGTTATAGCCTGGCCTCAGATGCCAAGCAGCATCCCTACCGCCATTGTATTAGTCAGGGTTCTCCAAAGAAACAGAACCAATGGGCTATAGATAGATAGATATAAGGGGAGATATATTAGAGGAATTGTCTCACGCCGTTATGGAGGCCAAGAAGTCCCACGGTCTGCTTTCTGCAAGCAGGGGACCCAGGCAAGCCGGTGGTGTCATTAAGGCCTGAAAATGGGGGTGCGCAGGGGAGCTGATGGTCTAAGACCTGATACGAGTCCGAGTCCGCAAGCCCAAGAACCAGGAGCGTGGATGTCTGGGGGCAGGAGATGACGGACCTTTCAGCTCAAGTAGGGAGTGAACTAGCCCTTCCTCTGCCTTGCTGTCCTACTCAGGCCCTTGGTGGATTGGACGATGGCCGCCCACATGAGGAGGGCCATCTGCTTCAGTCGGTCCACCGATTCAAATGCTGATCTTTTCCCGAGACCTGCTCACAGACACACCCAGAAATAACGTGTTACCAGCTCTCTGGGCCTCCCTGAGCCCAGTCATGCTGGCATATAACAGCAACCGTCAGCGCTCTGTCTTAGAACTAAGACAGCCCACATTCAAAGGGAGAGATCACAGACCCTGCGGCCCAGTGGAGGATGCTCAGCATCGTATCATGAGAATGTGTGAGATGGACTACATCCAGTACGGCCACAGTTGGAGCCCAGTCTGCCACAGTCCCCGTGAGAAGGAACTCTGCTACCCCAGCATCGCCTTCCATCAAAATTCCGCTCTGTCTTAGAACTAAGACAGCCCACATTCAAAGGGAGAGATCACAGACCCTGCGGCCCAGTGGAGGATGCTCAGCATCGTATCATGAGAATGTGTGAGATGGACTACATCCAGTACGGCCACAGTTGGAGCCCAGTCTGCCACAGTCCCCGTGAGAAGGAACTCTGCTACCCCAGCATCGCCTTCCAACAGGTTACCAGGTTCTTGTGCATTGAGAAGAACT